AACATTAATAATTTGAGAATAAAGTATAACAATAATAATAATTTGCATGGTTTGTGATATGAGCTAACCGATCTTTAGATTAAATCACCATTGGTACCGCGATTTATTGTAATGCTTTTTTCCTCAGTTAGTCAGAACAAAAGTGGCAGACTTGTTACTTGTTCAGATGGCAATATCCGGTGAAAATTCTTATTTGGGTCATATTCCAAGACGTGCTAGAATCTGTGATTGCGAAGTACAGTAAATATCCACACCGGTGCGGTGACTGACTGCCACACACACTCTTCAGAACATTAGATTCATCCGCGCTGGAGCCCCGCCGGAGCACAACCCACGCAAGCTAGATAATTCCTCACACAGCTGCAATTCCAGGTTTTCAAACAGAGATGGCAAAACTTACGGACTGCAGCTTTAAATACGTTCCATAAACATTTATAATTTTCTCTAACTTTCTCTCAGCTAAAGTGGTGAGTTCTCGCGCATCCTCTTCGTCCGGCTCTCTCCAGCGATCGCACAGCGATGTGGACGTTAACGCCGTGGCCAGTGCCAAATCACGAATGCCTGCTGTTGCTGCTACCGCCCCCTTCAGCTCAGCCGCGGCACTGCCGCCCGGTTCCTACGCCTCTCTGGGTAAAACAACCCACACTTACATGTTTAGAGCGGTGGAGAACAGTAATCAGAGTAAATACTGATGTAGAGAGCCAAACAATCCCATAATGAGGTGATTGTGTGAAATTTAAGGCCCCATTTTTTTGTGTGTGTGTGTCTGTGCTGTTAATGTCCTTCAATTATTATTAATAATAATAATAAATGTCATAAATAAATAAATAAATAAATGTCATATATATATTGATTTATAATTATATTTAAATTATAATTAAAGGGCATTAATTGTAAATGTTTATATACTATATATTATATGTAATTTTATTTAAATATATATTTTTTAATTATAATTTTTTTTGTAGAGAGCCGAGCAACCCGATAACAAGGTGATTGTGTGAAATTTAAGAACTCTTTTTAGGTGTCTGTGCAGTTAAGCTATTTTAATTATTATTTAAATAATAATACACTTTATATCAAAAAATATATATTTATATTTAAATTAATAATTAAAGTACATTAACTTTGAACATGCTTGTACCATTTATATTTAAATAATTAATGTATAATTAATTACATTTAAATTAATTATTTTTTAATTATACGTTTTAAAAATCATATCTCATAATAGAATATCACATTATTTAATGAGTTTAGAAATGATCAAATTTTGATTCAATTTACTTGTTGAACTAGCACACCTTCTGTAAAGTGACTACACATGATAATTTTAATGCCATGTTTTAGCCTTTTTTTAAATATAAAAGTGAATTAAGTAATGTTGAATTGTCCAATGGTATACATTTATTATTACTATTATTCTATGCATGACAACAGAAAGATGCTATGTTGTCGACAATTCCCAGACAAACTATATCTGTTTTTGTGTTCTGTTTGATTTTGACTATATTTACTTTAATATATTTATGCATCAGGATAATATAAGCAAGCTTTTGGATCAGGCATTAGAATCTATTCCAAGCATGAATTTTGGCACACATGTTCATATGAGGGGGTTTTGATGAATAATACACTCCTGCATGATCCCAAACGGTTTCCTCTAACACGCGCTGATGCTGTTGTCTTCTGTTGTACCTCTACTCTTATTTGCTCAAAGATGCGGCTGGTAATGTGGAGGGTAAGATGTGTGTGTCTCATCTATCACTCTGTGCTGTTTTGTGTTGAAATATCGTCAGTCTGTTTGAGACGCACACAGGAGACGGGTCCAGTTCATTGGCTAGTGTGGGTAATTTGATAAATATGTGACATAAAATCAAGATGCAACATTCTCCAGCATTTATATGAATATATGTTTGGATAAGCGTTTTGAACATGTTCATGTCAGTCAGCATGAGTCTTCACAGCGTCTGTGTTCGGTTTGGGTTTGTTGAGTATAAGTCGTGTGTTTGGGTTTTGTATTTAGGTTTTTGTGCATCTATGCATCAGTTTGCACAGTTAAATGAATTGTGCAGTAAGTAATGTCTGTTTATGTCTGTTTGATTAAAATATAAATGTATTTAAAAACATTAAATTAATTAATATATGCATTTGTAATATTATGTTTATATATATATAATTAAATATTAAATTAATTATTTTTATAATATAATATATATATTATATAATATATTATATATATTATATATATTTTATAATTTGTTTTTATTTGTAAATTAAATTTTATTTGTAAATTAAATGTATATTATTTGTTAAAATATGAATATTAATTTAAATAATTATTTAATTCACAATTTGTTGCAAAGGCAACATTTCAAAATGTAAATGTTTTCATCTAATATTTATATTTCATTTTATTTCAGCTTTATTTCAATTCAGTTTTCATTTTGATTTTAGTTGAATTTTTAGTCATTTTATGTGCTTTTGTCATTTTTATTAGTTTTTGTTTTTTAAATATTTCTAAATCATTTTAATTTGTTTCAGTTTTACTTTTATTTTAGTTAGTAATTTTTGTACTTCAGTATATTGTTGCAAAGGCAGCATTTCAAAATTGTCATTTTGTTTGTTTTTCATCTAATATTTATATTTCATTTTATTTTAGCTTTATTTAAATTATTCAGTTTTCTTTTTGTTTTCAGTTTAAATTTGAGTCATTTTATGTGCTTTTGTCATTTTTATTATACATTTATAGATATTCCTAAATTTATATTTCAATTTGTTTCACTTCAGTTAGAAATATTCATACTAATAACAAACTATTTTCAAAATGTTCTTGTAGTTTTTAATCAGATATGTATATTAAATTTTTATATATTAAAAATATTAATGTATAAAGTATATAGTTATTAAATAAATATTAAAATACAAGTTTTTTTTGTTACTAAAATGATTTTTGTGTTCATCCATAATTTTACGGTTCTGTATTCTTTCTCTGGCCTTCTGCAGGTCGTGTGCGAACAAGACGACAGAGTTCAGAGATGGCAGCTGGGGGCGGAGCTTCTGTGACTGACAGTAGGGGGCGGAGCCGAGCCAAAGCTGTGTCCCAATCACAACGTGAGTTTTTGGTTACATCATCCTGTTCAGCTGTCCTAGATCAGGATTTATGCTTGTCAATCAAATATCTTTTACACAGAAATTATTGAAATATTATAGAGACAATTAAAGGGATAGTTCACCAAAAAAGGACTTTCATGTCTGATTTTATTGCAAACATTCATTGTTTACGTTTGGGTGAGTAAATGATGGCAGTGTTTTCATTTTGCGGTGAACCGTCCCTTTAAACAAATGATAAACCTTGATCAAGAGATGTACGGTATGCTGTAATATCATTGGCTGCAGTATAATATATATTATACTCCAGTATAATGTGGCTCTCGTGTGTTTTCGGTTGACATCCCTCTTAATGAAGAGATATGAACTCCATCTCTCTTTCTGTGCCGCCTCATAAATATCAGCATGCTTTAGATCAGCTGATGCATGGACTCATGGGTAATGTAGTTTCTCTTCACTGTCCCGCGTCAAGGATCCAGATCAGCTAATCCGGTGGTGGGTAAAACTCACGGTACGGAGTAAAACACAGATTGATGTCTGCATGCATCCCGTCATGAAAGCATGATCCACTGTACTGCTGCGATTGATTCCCGGATGTGTTATTATTATGATTTTGCTGTCATATCTCTGTTTTTGTCAAGTCACTTTAAGGAGAGTCAGTTCACTCGGCGTCCATCTTGGTAGTGCGCTTGGTTAGTTATTTCCAGCCAGTATAGTAATCGTTAACTTCTACTAAAACTATTATTTGTCAATTGAAATAAAGCTAAACTAAACTAAAATATAAATATTAAATAACAAAAATGTATGATTTAAATGTTGAAATATTGCTTTGCAACTAACTGAAATAAGTTGAAGTATGAAAATTACTAAATGAGATAAAACTAAAACTGGAATGTAAAATAATGTTTTAAAAATAAATTGAAATGATTTAGAAATAGAAAAATTAACAAAACTAACAAAAGCACATAAAACAATTGCTAAAAAATTTGGGTAAAAATGAAAAATATTGTAAAATTGTAATAATAAAATGAAATAATAATAATAATAATAAAATGTAGAAATATATAAAAAAACACGTTTACTAAAAATTAAGCTAAAACCAAAAAAATATGTAAAAATTACAAATTTAAAAAATAAATTAAAAATATTTTTAAAAACAAAAAAAATGATAAAAATTACAAAAGCACATAACACAATTACTAAAAATTAAGCTAAAACTGAAAAATAATGTAAAAATATTTAAAAATGTTTTAAAGTTAATAAAAATGACAATCACATAACACAATTAATAAAATTAAGCTAAAACATAAAAGTAATTTAATTAAAAAAAAAAAAAAACTTTATCAATATTAAAAAAAAGGAAAATTAATAAATATGACGGTTAGTAAAAATTAAGTTGAAACTGAATTTTAGATATTTTTAAAAATTAAAAAAATAAGTTTAAACTATTCAGAAATATTTCTTAAAAACTAATAAAAAAGACAAAAGCACATAACAAAATTACTAAAAATTTAAAATCCCATTCAAAAGCCAATTCAAAATGATAATAAGAAATTCTAATAGATATAAAAGATTATATATAAATAATAGTAAAATAACATTGTTTCCAGCATTGTGCATTCAGCTCCGTCTGTTAAAATTGAGAAAGAATCAGGAATAACAATAACAAGGCCAACATTTATTGTGATTCTTAAGTTGAAATCATGCAAAAAGCACATTTTCTGGCTGTAACAACAAAGCCTATTTTGTAAACAAATACAATTTTGTAAATGATCTCTTGAACGTATTCATAATATAATGATAAACTGTACAGAAGCTTGCTATATTAAGTGTTATGTTTTCTCCATTTATCAATGTACGAGTGGACGGTCTCTGCCTTACACAGCCTCTGTTTATGTGTCCGATGAATGTGCCGCTTGTATTGATGTACTCTAGACATATACAGTATTTACAGTAACACTGACATTAAATCAAGTCACAGAACACTGTTTAAGTTAAGCGTATCTGTGTTACAGCGGGCAGCCGCTCTAGTTCACCCGGGAAGCTCTTGGCGCGCTCTTCCATGAGAATCCCTCGATCCGCCGGATCCGCTGGAGCGCCGTTGGACAAACGCAGTAAGATCCCGTGCAATCAAGGCTGCAGCCGAGAGACGAGTCCCAGCCGTGCACGAAACGGTAAGACATTTACATCTGTTCGCCTAGCAGATGCAACTTTATGTTGAATATTAAAAGGGCTCCTATTATGCAAAATCCACGCAATTTGGACGTAAATATGTGTTGGCAGTGTGTGAACACAACCACCCTACAGTGATAAAAATCCACCCACTCCTTATTTTTTAATCTCCATTAAACCAAATCAGTCTCATTAGACCTGCCGTTTTGATTCTCTGAGCAGTGTGACATCACATTGTTTAGGCCCCGCCCCCACAGCCGCTGACTGACACTGCCGTATTAGCAGAGGCCCCGCCCTGAGTGAGCCGCACACAATCCGCCATGTTTATCGTCATGCTAGAGCCTTTAAAAGCAGCATTCAAGTTAGAAATGTCTTCTTATTAAAGCTATAGAAGTTATTCAGTCAAGAGTACTGTTAATTTTGTCAGCTATTTTCAGTTTTATTCTTAGTCTTAGTCCCGTGTTAACTGTCCTTGTTAGCTTTTATCATATTTAGTCAACCTTATCCTATTTTTATTTTGCTCAAGTTTTAGTCAACTAAGGCCCGGTTTCACAGACAGGGCTTAGACTAAGCCAGGATTAGGCCATAGTTCAATTAGAACATTTAAGTAGTTTTTATTAACATGCCTTAGAAAAAACATTACTGGTGTGCATCTTGAGACAAAACAAAGGCACTGATATGTTTTAAGATCAGTCAGTGCAAGTTTCTTTCAGTTGAAACAGCTCAGATTTACATTTTAATCTGGGACTAGGCTTAAGCCTTGTCTGTGAAACCGGGGGTAAAAGTCTCAGAATTTTAGTCTAGTTTTAATCAATGAAAACTTGACATTTTAGCAATAAGATTATTATTCATTAACCGTACAGCAGTATTAATTTTGGCAGGCATTTTTTATTTAGTCTTAGTCTTACTCAAATGTACGTTTTTTAAGTTATTTTCTTATTTAGTCAACCTTGTCCTGTTTTTGTTTAGTCAAGTTTTAGTCGACGAAATGTCTGAGCATTTTAGTCAGGTTTTAGTCAATGAAATCTTAGTCACATTTCCTCATGCTGTATAATGGTTAAACTGATAAAAATTATTTTTGCTCAAAATTATAATCGTAATGATTGTTTTGAATTGATTTGTATTTCAGACATTGCACTTTCACCAGTAAGCACAAATCAGTAGAATGTGGACTCATACACATGGTTTATTTCACTTCATCTAGTGTACTGATTTATTATAGGCTTTTTATTATATAAATTAATATAAAAGACTTATGCACTCTCTCTGTCTACATTATAAAAACTGGTAAAAATTTTTTTTATAACAACGAAATTCCTAATTGCAATAGCCTATGTTTCTCTATTAAAACAACGGCGGTTGAGTAAGTGCATTTATTCAGCGATCACAATCGCAAACAATATAGTTGAGACTCATGACAGAACACAGAACGGTTGAGTGATGCTTTTATTTTGATCGCTAAACTCCAGCTTGTTTGTTGCTGTATTCAGATCATCTGCGGCAGCGCTTCCGCAATAAAGAGCGAGCACGTGCTTAAAATAGCCAGACTGCAATCAAATAAGCAAAACACCGGGCAAAAAATTTATCAATGTAACAGCGAAGCTCTGATTTGGGGATTTGAACTCTTGATATCTGGCAACCGCACTCATGAGAGTTTGCGTAGTAGAGGCGTGTACAGCAGTCCGCAGTAATATTTTGTCTCCTTTTTTGGACGAAAATAAAAAGGTTTTGGGTAAAGTTTTTATTTTTTGAATGCATTTTAGTCTCATCTTTTATCGTCATCGAAATTGCATGTTGATATAATCATAGTTATCGTTTATTGACCTTATTGTCGTCTCGTCATCGTCTCGTTTTAGTCATGGGCTAAAAACATTTTTCGTCATAGTTTTTGTTAACGAAATTAACACTAGTCAAGAGCAGTGAGTGATTTTCTGTATTTATATATTGTTTGACTCATATTAAAGGGATAGTTCACCCAAAAATTAAAATTCTGTCATTAATTACTCACCCTCATGTCGTTCCAAACCTGTAAGACCTCCGTTCATCTTCAGATCACAAATTTTTTGTTGAATTCTGAGAGCTCTCTGACCCTCCCATAGACAGCAAGGATCCTTACATGATCAAGCCTCAGAAACGTGGCAAGGAGATCGGTAAAATAATCCATGTGACATCAGGGGTTCAACCGTAATTTTACGAAGCTACGAGAATACATTTTGTGTGCAAAAGCAAAATTAATTACGACTTTATTCAACAATTTGTCTCCTCCGCGTCACCCTGGCGCCATTTTGGAGAATATTCACTTAATATTCTCCGACATAACTGACTGTGTTTGTGTTGTGAGTTTGTGTTGTGTGTATTTGACAGTTTAAGCGCAATAAGACATGAAATAGAACTTAGTTTAGTGCTCACATGCCGTGTGACAGCTGTTCTCTGTGCGTTCGCTTCGGATGTGTGCACTCAGAAAACCCTTAATCAAAAGTTTAAACTGATATGGCTTTAAAATGCATGATTTCAGTGCAATAGACATTATAATAAAAACCAAGCAGATGGTTTTTAGCAGAGTATCTGAGGCACAAGCTGTAATGGCGCAGCTCTATTCTGGAAAAGGGGGCGGGGAGCAGCAGCTCATTTGCATTTAAAGAGACATGCACGAAAAGGCCATTTGAACACTGAAGTCTGCATGTTAAATGATCTCCTGCTCATCACACAGTATGCTTTATTTTTCTTTAGTTATAAAGTGAATGAGCAGCCAAATGCTCTGTAAGTGGGTTAAAATTGTGCAAATAAACTAGTAAGCACTGAACGGCCTATTATCCATGTGACCCAGTGCAGTCAGTGATCAATGTGAGCAGCGCTGCATGTCACTGTCCTTCATGTGATCCAGTCAATACGTCTGCAGTGAACAGACTGAAGACTCACAGCTGCAGTGGTTCTTCTCTCTGTTTGTGTTCATGTCGTTGTCGTTGAAATCTATGAGCATCGTTTACTGCAGATCAACTAAAAGTTTGTCTGAGTCTGGACCGTTCTCTTCTTTAGCTTCTTTCAGCTGTAAACGTAATTTTTTTGTAACTGAGCAGAAAACTTTGTTGTTCTTCTTTTTGTTTGACTGTTGTTCTTTTCTCTTTTGTTCATTATGTTTGGTTGAGCATATCATATATATATATATATATATATATATATATATATATATATATTGTCAT